ATGTGATTGTGACTCTTTATATGTTCACAGTGACAGTCAGAGTGAAGGAGAGCGGCCGTGACAGCGGAGCGCAAGTGTCTGTGTCCCATTGTAAAACCACAGTAAAACCGAATGTCAAAATAAAGAAGTGCTGTCACCACGTCCGTGTCTTGTACGTGTGTAAAGGGTCCAATTTCACAAAAACATTTAGGGTATTAGAGCAAAAGACTCGAATTAAATGTTTCTATTACAACTCAACAAGAAGTATACAAGAAATTCATAAACTGTTAAGTTTCTGGTTTCTGCTGTTGGTGTCTAATAAAGGCATAAAAATACAACACATATTTCCACAGCCAACTGGGTAAAACAACTTACAGTTAACTTATGCACACTGTTTACTGGTCATCATGCAGTTTTTTAACACCCTGTCACACAGCTTTATCTTTAAACCACTAGGCAGTTGATTTTCTACAAAATTAAAATACAGGATTTGAATATAATATTGCTCTAGTTTGTCAGCGTATGCATATAGCCACCATTAAACGTGTTGATTAGCTTATATACAACGCTAAACAATTCATTATTATTTTCTGAAAAAAGTAGCATCCATGTGTACGTGAGAAAAATTTCACTAACAAGCTTCCTGCTGTCTGCAGACGCTGGTTTGACAACTATTAAAATATTGCCAGTTGGACATGTTTTCCACCAATTGCACTGTTTTAAAAACACAAGGACACTTATACATTTTTCATTTGACATTGATTTTCTACTCCAGGGTGCAACAGCGTACCTCCGCAAACAATCTGATAGTCACTGATCTTAACACAAATCCCTTTTATTTTCTTTTATTTTCTTTTTCTAGTTGTTATAAAATTGGTGCAACAATCATGGGATTTACATGGACACGAGTGAATCCGAAGACAGATGGTCTTCTAATGTTGCTCAAGGAACAAATGACTACTGAGTGACTTTGTCTCAAACAGCTGGTGTGTGGTGGCTCTGCATAAATGTCTGGCCATGTGTGTATGTGTGTCATTGAGGGCACAGGCAGCAGAGGGTTCATCACCAGATGGAACACATGCAAACAAACCTATTAATACCCATGAAATAAATATGGAAACAAACTCTTTCGTGACCACGCATTTAATTCTCGATCAACCAAAAATCAGTCCTTTCCTCTACGCACATCTGTGGGTGTCTGAATGGAAACGAGCTGAAAGCATTCATGAATAGAACAAAAACATGCAAACGCATACAAATGGTGTGTGTAAGGCACCAGGTCGTTGTTTTCTTTTCTTGCTTGGCTACAAACCAGCAACCTGCAGGGAGTAAAACAGCCTCTGAACGGAGGAGAAGACCTTGTGTCTGGCTTGATAACACCGTAACAAGATGGAAAACAGTGCTGGGCTGTGAAGGATTTGCCATAGTGGACAGTCTGATTGATTACAACATGCATACTTTTTCACACACTGATTGCCAAAAATAATAATTGCAAAAAGAGCTTTAAAATAGTGTGTAAAATTCTGGTGTAGGCGACCAAGAATCCTCTCAGCTAGTCTGATTGCACACGCGGCGTCATGCATGGAGCCAAAAACAAATATGCAGAAATGCACACATTCATGCACACCTTTTTCTTTATAGTGGAAACAAATTAGCATTTACATACACATACACACTTGAGCATACACTGTACATGCAAGACCAATAAGTACACATAGAAATATGGACTCTCATGCGCCTACACAGCCACACAAACACACACATCAAGGAGATAATAAGAGGGGTGAGAGGTCTGAAATTGAGCTGCAGGTACACTGAGACCTGAACACTGTGGTCTTATGTCACTTTAACCCTCTGAAAAGATGGTGAGATAAAAAGCTGCCCTGGAGAGAAGCAGAGACACCTTCACTGCTATGTGTTAGTGTCTCTCTCTTATTCTCCATGTCTAAATTCTCTCAGTTCGAATTTTTCCAACTTTTTCCTTTTCTGCCCTCTCGTACTCCCTCTCCTTTAGCACCTTTTACAATTTGATCTGTAACTTTACAATGTGGAACAGCACAGTGACAGCATCATTTGTCTTCTTCCCCCGCATCTTTAGGTACCTACACACACATGCGCTCAAGTTCTATAAATGGTTTAGTGAGTTAGTGAGGAAAAATTGCTGAAAATCTACGTCATGTCATCAATGAAAACTGACAACTTTTTCTCAAAGTTTTAAGGAAATCTATCTCTATTGTGGCAAACAAACAGCTAAAAGAACAAACCAAGAACCAGAAAGGATCTGGGTCTTGTGTTGGACAAATCCAAAAACCCACACAAACAAATTTCTCTGTAGAACCAAGTTCCTACAATTAACTATAGGAGCAAACATAGAAAGATGTTGAAGATGAAAACGTGTTTGTCTGTGTTTTGGATGAGCTAATGTTTTAGATGCACCACTGTTTTCACTCAGACATTCCTAAAAGTGGCTAAATAGTCAACCGTAGGTGAATAGCGTGCTTAGCATGAAATGAAAACTCCTCAGCTCATTTGGCCTTAAAAGAAGCATTTAAAAAACTCAATTAATACGTCTAATTTAAGTATTGCTCCCAGGATACATAGCCCATTTAGGATATAAAACTAGTCTGTGGTGCACTGTATAACTGCAAATGATACCAAAATTGACAAATATTACACAGAAGAATAACTTCATGATCACACTTAGGTACCATATAGTCTTTACCCATACAAGTACAGCTATACACACCCATATTATTTAGGTTTCCTATTAAATATATTATATATTTGTTTTTTGTACTGCAGCTGTAAGAACCTAATCGGTGGATAAAAAAGATGGATATGCATACTAGTTAATATTAACATTAATGACATTTAGCCATGCAACATCACCTCTCTGGTGGTGAAAGTGGGCCGAGCTAGTGCTTGAGGTTGAGAGATAAGGGTTAGATAAAGCTGAGGTCAACTCAATGGATAATTTGTATTCCGGAGAGCAGCCTGGCTCTTTTCCAGTCTGGAGTTGCTCCACTGTCCCCAGCGAGGAAATGGAGCAATGGTACAGAAAGTTGGAGGGTGTGTTAACAGAACACACTGAGGATTCCTGTTACTGGACATATGTGCAATTCACAGTTTGTCCATACGGAATACCACGAATATAGATGAGGTTGTTTGTAAGTGCACTTGGCTAGGCCACCCTACATCATTTTGCAATCATGTACATATGTCATAGACACGAGTGAACAAAGGAGCTGAGCTATCAAATGATGACCATAAATGATCAGGCCTGGCATACCTATACATTTAGTGAGGCTGTACTGGAAATGTCTGACCCCCACTTCTTGTGCGGGATCATCAATTTGTACCTCAGTCAGAACTTCAACAGCAATCGACAACCCTGTCACCTCACAGCAAGAAAGTCCTTTTTTCTTGTGGTCTCTGGGCCCTGTGCCTGCATGAGGTACAACTAGGTACCACAGCTTTTGTCCACAGTCCAGATACTTGCATGTTAGGTTAAATGGTGATTCTAAATTGGCAATAGGTGTGAATGTATAGAAGGTAAAGTATTTAACTGTATGACTATATGGGAAAAAAAATAAAGTGGCTTGAAGTGTTGAGAGTCTAAACTGGTAAGTGAGACTAGAAAAGCCATTCCAGTCCATTCCAAAGGAGGAGGGGACCTTGAGTGTGAATGGTTCCACACTTCCTTTACTGAGGTTGGTGTGTAAAGCTGTGGCAATGAGGTGGTTGGAGGATCTTTTCGAGCTTGGTTACCTAGTGCATTTTTAAATACATTCAATAGCTGCAATAGTGGAAGATAACCATTTGAAATAGCTTAAGAATCTTCAAAGCTGGTGGGGTGAGGGTTTAATCCACTGGTGGTTCATTGAGCACATAGCTCAAAGAGAGCTGGCCAAGTGGAAACTTTTTTTCAAACATCTCAGGCCTCTGTGAGGTTGGTGTGAGAGTATGTGCACAGATCAACAAATATGATCAGAAACAAATGACAAACTTTCTGTGCTAGCAGCATGCAAGTGATCAAATAGTTACACATCAAAAGTTGAAAGATCAGACCAGTATTGACTTTTTTCTTTAACACGTATTCAATATGAATACATATGTGGTCCAAAATAACAAATCTTCTACAGCATTTTACAGCGTTTTACTGTACTACTTACTACGATTACCTGCAGCTCTTTTTCATCATCAGCCTGACTTTTTACTCTTTCATGCAGAATTATTATTATATACAGAATTATGTGATCAAAAAATATTCACTATCATGTCTGCATGCCAGGCTCTTAACAGATGTTTGGATCAAATAGATCAGCGAGGAGAAAATTTCATGTGAGTTAACTTAATGCTTAACTCACCATATTAAATTAAGACTACAGTAACTGCTCTCACACAAGTAGAGCACAAAGTAGAGCATAAAGTGTAGGCTTTACTAACACGAGGATGGGTGGTAACGAGTACACACTGAAATAGAATAGAAACCTATTTTCTCATACTGAGATGCACATAAACACAGTAATCATGAAAGCTGTAAGTTGTCCTCCGTGATTTCAAACTGTACAAAGAAACAATTTAGAGCCACAATGCACCAATAAGAAAGTCAACACACAAAGGATCCCAGCAAGTGGAGGAGTTGTTTCTATGGTGACCAACACAAATTGGTGCAAATGTGCTTCAGTGAATGAACGTGAAAGGGAGCAACAAAAAAGAACAAAATATGCATATACTGTTTGAAGTTGTGCCTATGATCGCACAGTGGTGAAGATTAAGAAACTTTGATTTTTCTGCAAAAATATTTTCCATTTATTTGACATTTGTCAGTAGATGTATAAACACACACACACACACACACACCTTGAGGTGACTGTTGTGAACTGGTGCAATACAAACAAAACTGAACAGAACTGAATAAAAGTCGTGTGTTACATATAATTCTTCATAAATTATAATGTGACATATAAAAGAAAAAGAAAATAACACCTGAGACAAGATTTTAAGTGCTTGTTGCTTACCTGAGACAGCCTGTAGCATTGCGCAGCACCTGGGATGTATGAATGTGGAGCTTGCGGTCATCATGGTGATTTGGGGAGGAGTCCCAGTTAGAGTGGGGTATGATGACACTATTGGTCAGAACGGCCAAGGCATCCTGGATGATTGGCATCTTCAGTGCATCACATGATGACAGGTTCCAAAGCACACCTGCATATCAATGTGTTCAGAAAATAAGAAACGTTAAGTTAAGTTACTCTGTAAGTAACTTTTTCAAAGTAGCTACTATAAATATTATATCCTTAGTTTCTGTCTGCACATTTCTGCATGTAACTGATCGGGTCAGTTACTGGCTCACCAATCTCCTCAGCGTTTACATTTGTTCTTTCTCAGTGCTTCTCTTTTCATTCTCCATTTTCCTCTCATTCTAATTGGCTGAGGCATGAGGGTGCCTACCGCGAGTCTCCTTAAGTCTTGGGTTTTAGTCCAGTTAAAGGGGAACTGTTCTCTGAACTTTAGACATTAGAGGTGCGTGTTAGAAACACAAATGTTAAATGCAAATGAATCAGACATAAACTAGTCTTTAACCTACTAAACTCCCCAGTACAATGTCTGTGTAATGTCTGATTGAGCCAATCTGCCACTAAGTGAAAACAGTGTTGGTAATAGTTCAGTGAATTCACAGCCAGCAAGTGCATGCACCACACAGGCAGCACCGTTGCCTAAACCAAGCAGAACCCTTCTTGTAGCAAGAATGAATCTTAAGCAGACTACCTCCTGCTGTGTGCTACATGTGATTGCAAGCTTTGGATAATGTCCTGACCTAAATCTTCCACCATTATCCATATTTCATGTGCGGTACACACATTGCACCAAAATTTCTTTTGTATAATTTTTAAATGCAAACTAATGCTACTTTTTAAGGGAGACAATTGGAAATTTCAAAGAATCAGAAGGAACCTTGCCAGGATGCAGATGAATTATGTATGTAAAAACATTTTAAGATTGATTGCCCAAACAATAGGAGGTCAATTTATGAGAGAATTGTCAAAGTATGGCATTGGTATGATCTAAGCAGCTTACTGTCAAAGATGCTGTTTGCTTATCATCATCATCATCATCATCATCATAATGAAGGATTGTGGAAACTGTCATTGCCAATGTAGACTTACACTGACTAGATCAGGGGTGTCAAACTCAAATACACAGTGGGCCAAAATTGGAACAAAGTCGCGGGCTAACGTTAATATTTATTGAAATATATTTATTCCTCCAGATATAAGAATGAATCTTTTCTTATGGACTCAAACACGTTTTGCTGAATCACTGAATATGGAACAAGCAAAGCTTAATATTAAACAATATATATATTAGCTGTTTAATACCAGTAGGCCAGCTCTAATAGTAATTTGGTATGGCTTCGCGGGCCAAATGTAATTAGGCTGCGGGCCAAATTTGGCCCGCGGGCCAGAGTTTGACACCTATGGACTAGATAATAGTAAGACACTAATATACAAACCACCAAGAACGCTGATTGTTGATTTAGTTTTCTGCAAAGTTTTATCGACTAAATTACATTTACAAACTTTATAAATAAAACCTCATACTTTCATAAATCAAATACATTTTTAGAGCTAAAAATATTTATCCAACCGTTTCATTTTCATCTAATGAAGTTTTAAGCTCTTCTATAAAAAACAAAACAAAACAAAAACGATTAACAATTATTTGATCTTACATACCTCATTAACTGCTTTGCTACAACTCTCTCCAAAACCTAATAAAAATGTGCTTGGTTCCATTCACTGTTCAGAAATGTACATGTGAAATACATTTAGCTACATTTTGGGAGTCAGGGCAGCAAATTACTTTAAGAAATAAAACTAAAACTTTTTTTTAACCTTGAGCAGAATGACACTGATCTCAGACACACCTTTTCAAGTCAGGACATATTTCAGGACTGGAAATGCTAACAATAGCACCTCCCTATATTTATCACTTTTGAGTAAGCCACCCACACTTTTATTTTTGAATCTGACTCTTAACTGTGAGAAAGCTCCAACTGGCATTATTTATCACATGCTGTGTCGTACAAAACGCGCACAAACTTATTACCAAATTAATTTTACAGCAATGCATAAACATAAAGCCAGCAAACACAGCTGCATGGTCATATAAATAACCTGGCTGAAAAACAAGTTTTTATGTTTTTATGTATCCATGATACACTAAATCGCCTACAAAGACACATGGATATACAACACACACAAACACACTTATTTTTTTTGCTTCCTGTCAGATGGGATACCAGATGCCTTTTCACAGACCGGTGACAGCAGTAGCCCTGTTGGTCAGCTGTGACACACTCATACGTATCAAACACACACGTGTGCACATACACACACAGGCTACATTAGCACTGTCACATTCTAGATATGTTAGTTTCATTATGTTAGCTTTCATTGAACTTTCTTACATACCAAAAAAATATAAGGTAAAAATATAGGAACCAGAGTGACAGGGATAAATAAAATAAGAAAATATAGATATATCAGTAGCACTGGTGGATTAAGGAGCTGAGAGACTGCCGAGAAATTGGAACAGATTGCACCAAGAGGAGACAACCTCCTTTAAAGCTACAAGAAACTATAAAAAGCTGTGGTGCTATAGGTCATCATCTCTCGTGTATTTCGTGTCAGACTCCAGATGTTGCAGGTCCCAATGACAGATGTCGTTCATTTGCACAGTTAGCAAACAATTAAAATATGGGCACAACTCACAATATGCTGCGCCCCACAGTTCATAGAAACTGTCAGTGAGCTTAAATGTGTCCTGTTCATTCAGTAATTCTGAGTGCAAAATCCAAAGATAAAGACTGCATCTGTTTTCTGAAATGCTAGCAAGTGTGGAAAATCTCTGTAGCTAAACCTGGCCCTCACTTATTATGTGTTAGGGAGCAAACAATTAATTAATAAAGCATATTTAAAATAAATATACACAATAAAATCCCGAAGTATACAAAATTTGTTCAACTTCTTTCAAGCATGAGAACTGAAAGGAAAAATGCACTTTAAAAAATAAATATAAAGGTACTGAAAATAAAGACAATAAAGGGCTAGAAAAATAAACTGTCATCTGTGGACTGATGTGAATAAAGCCTCACTTAACTGAAACATTTGTGGAGGCAATGGATGTTAAGTAGCAGCCAGCTTTGCATTGCCCAAAGCAATGCCAGTCTTGAAGCCTTACACTATGCTCTACTACATACGGTCATAATGTCAATCTCAGGGAAAGGGATTGTTGTTGTTGTTGAAGAAAATGAGGCCAGAGAATAGACAAGGAAGGGCAGTGAGAAAGCAAATGCCAGTGTTACTTAGCCAGTGGGTTAATTCTTAATTACAAATGCACAGCTGTTAAACCCAAATTAATTAATATTTAATAATTTAGACTCAATAGACCACTGCAGAAAGCAAATGATTAGATGGAATATGCATAAGACTATATATAAGTTTATACAAGAAGAAAGCTAAAAGTAGAGACGGGGAGATGTAATTGGGAATTTCAGAGAAGAGTTAGTGTGTGTGTGAGAGAGAGGGCAAGAGAGAATGAGAGGAAGCAAGCTTGAGAGGACAAGAGAAGGAGGGTGATAATAACACAATGACCTTGTATGCTGCTTGGCAGCAATCAAGAGCTTGTACGAAGGCATGTGAGTGTGAGTGTGGTAACATTTGCCTTCACTTTCACTAATCAGCCTCTTGTTTCACATCTCAACTTTCTGTCTTTCCACTTAATCCTGCTATTCACACAGGCTCTTCTCAAATCAAAGTAAAAAAAAAATAATAATAAGGCAATAAGTTCAAACATATGCAAGCACGCAAACACTCTGTTGCCACCTCAGAGTGAAGACACACATTCAGCAAAACACTTGACTTATAAAGCTGAATGCTGTCAAACATCTTCTGTATTTCTCTCTGCTTCTTTTTCCCGCGTCGGTCTGTTTCTCGTGTGGTAAGTGTTTTCAGTGTATGATTGCAATCAGGTTAAAACAGTGTTGTCTTTGATGAGCTGACAAGAAGCAGCACTCAGCAAGCCTTTCTTTATCTGCTCCGGCCAATTCATCTAAACAAACACACATTGAGACACAATACATGCTCAGGAAGCGACACGTTGATTTTCGTGCAGGCGCGAATGGACAAAAACACTGATTAAAAGGAGACACGTAAAAGGATGCACTGCTCAGTTTTTTTCTGGGGCAAGGACATTGTAAAGGCCACTGTCCAATATTCTGCAAATTTAAGGCTGACACACTCACATCGACACACCAGCAACCACACTTACACAGACTTGTCTGCTCTAGAAACATAGATATGTAATGCTTCACTAAACTCAATGTCCTTATGGGTATAACATCAAGTGACCAACAGACAGTGACATCATACTTCAAGCTTGTGTGCCTGTGAGTGCATGTGTCTGCGCTTTTTTTCTTTTCTCTTTCCTTGTCCTTATACCCCATCCCTCTCTGACTAGTTCCCTTTAGACATTTGACAGACAGTTTCCTAGGAGCCTGGTGGTTTGGGGGAGAGAGGAGATGATTGCATGAATTCATGAATAAATGAGAATGTGACTTGTAAGGGAAGAATGAGACCTGTTAGGCCTCAAGTGGTGATGTTTTATTAAACAGCCTTCATTTGTGCAGCTCACTGCGAATTAGTTAGCTGCTGGGTCACAACCTGGTGATGAGCAATGCCAGAGATGACAAATTGCATGGCTGTTGTGTCTATAAAAATCTGTGAATGACAAAAACGGTAAATAAATAAATAAAATAACATAAAATAAAAGTGATTTTGGGTAAGGTTTTCAGACAGCAGGCTAGCAATTGCTGACTTAACCCCCGAGTCTTTGAACCTTCATTTCAGCGGTAGGTTTGCTGAAGACCTTTGGCAGCACAAGGTAAAATCATGTATTGTGGGTAAACTGCCACTGCCAATGCTGGAGATTTTATTACCACCAGAGAATTTCACAGTCAAAAGGCTGCATTGAAATTTCTTGAATAGCAGCAGCATTTGGAGCTTGGGATTTAGATGTTGACAATAGAAAATATTTTATGCCTTCAAGTAACAGGAAATGATGAACTGTATTTGTGAGTACAGCAGTATAATTTAACATTGTTGGGCTGTTTTTAACATAACCTTGCAACAGTGGAAAAGTCAGTCAGTCACTTCTGTACACATGCAGTTATTCTCTGCTGCATTTCTCATAAACTGACTTCTGGAAATGAGCGCTTGCTTATGTAGCGGAATATATGTAAGCATATTGTTTTCATGTTCAATGCAATTCACAGAAACATGCATTGTGATATGCGTCATAGCTGAGAGAAGCCACCATGTGCAGTTTTTTATAGAGAGGAAGCGGATTAGATGGTGGCTAATGGAAGTACTGAGAAGTACTAATTATAATAATCTGAGAAGATTTGTCCAAATGGAAACTTTTTGGATACAGCTGTCTTCAGCAGTTGCTTCTCCCCTCAGCCATTTCAGAGGAGGCAGCAACAGACACTGTAGTCATGGTCCACTGCTTTCAAGGTGAGCCCATGAGTAAGGATAGCATCTCCTATTGACATCCGAAGCCTCTGCATCGACCAGACTTTGACTGACAGGCCCAGAAGCCTTGACTTCATCCTATCTACCTCACGCTCAGACCTAGGAAGCCAATAAAGCTTGTCTAAATTTAAACTTCAGAACCAACAGAGAGATAGGGTAAATAGTTAAGGGAAGGTTTTTCCAATCACCAAAAGTAACAAAAAAACAAAAATTTATGCCTGATTCTGAAGAGATTCTGTAATTACAAATTAGAGGGATGGATCAACATAGACGTAATAAGAAAGCAGAATTGGTACAATACTGGCATTTTTTTGAGTTTGGCTTTTGACAGCCATGTCTACGGGCAGCATAGGATGACACGATCCTAGATCAATCTCTCCTAGTGACAGTCATTGTTTACTTTCAAATTATTTGGCCGTCAAGTAGAATTACAAGTTAGACTTTGAGTAGAATAAAATTTGACACAGCAAAGCATCCGAGAGCAGAGACACTAACATGTAGTTACAGAGCATTAGCATCATTAGCTCTTCCGTAACATGTTTTAACTGTAAAGTTTTCAGCACTGATCTACCAAAAGAGTTGCTATAGTCACACAATTTCATCTGATAGCCGCTCAACCCAAATACAGTCCAACAACATTAGTTCTGTCCAACAACATTATGGATTATAAGTCAGTGAATATGGTCCAGATATTACAAGAGTCTCAGCAATAATCCTCCCAGTTCACCATTTTTTGACACGTTCTCTCAAAAAGGGTCACCTGCCTTTAGCCCTTCATTTTTGTTCTTTGCGCTACAGACATACTTCATTTTTACATTTTTATTTCACAAAATCGAGGCTGAAAACGTTTAACTACACAAGCTCTGTAACACAGCTTTTATTAAAAACTGCCTTAAACTGGTAGGATTGTGTCAATGGCCAGGACAGCATAAATCACCACTTACCACATAAACATAATTAACTAACTGTAGTCCTTCTCTGTATTTGTGACAGACAACATTAACCTAACTGAATTACAGAATAATTATGCAACACTTCTTAGACGTGAATTACAGCAACAGCAGGGTGTTACGCGAGGCAAATTAAGACAGACTTCAAAATATGGCTGTACTGTCGTGAAAGCATTTAAAATGTGGAATTTAATGCCAAGTACCAGAGGAAACAGACAACAGGGGAGACTCATGCATGACACTGAATCACAGACAGGGAAGGGCAAAGACAGGAAGAGTCAGGAAACGGGGGAAGCAGAGATAGAATTTCACAGTGCATGTCTGTCTGTGTGAGATGACTATTTATAAAAGTCGGAGCTCAAAACATGATGCGGTATGACTCGCAGTGAATTTTATTCACTGGTTAATCTGCTTACAGACCACAGACATTCCTTCCCCAAGCTGTTTTCTGTATCTTAGTCTCTCCAGCACGTTTTTATCATCACAGACATGTATACCTTGGGATCATCAAAAAAAAAGAAGCCTTTTTGTAATGACATTCTTACTTCTTTATCTTGAATATAAACAAACCTTGTTTTTTAGTGCAGCAGAGATTGCCTGCCGCCACACAACCTGTTATGAGGATATCATTAACAGTGAAAAGGTTCCAGACTTCCTTCCTCCTTCTCTACCCTCGTCTAGCGAGCTGTTATCGATATCTCAGGGGTTTGTAAAAGGACAGAAAAAAACTGTGCACTTGCTTGCTAGCAGTCAGTATTATGATCCACCAGGTTCTCTTCCCCCTCAGAGAGCAGGTGACCTAGTGGGATGGACTTTTAAATGTGTGATTAAAGATGAGCTCTGTTGTGCTAAGTAACAACGGGGACAGAGGTCAAATTGAGCATGAGGGGGCCCTACTGACTTTAGTTTAGTATTCTGTGTGAATGCGCTTTATGGGTGTTTTGGAAGGTTTTGTGTATTTTTGTGTTTGAGTGAATGGGTTTGCTTTATCTCTGAAACTGTTAAATCTACTTGTATGAGTTTGCACATGTCTCTGTTATCTCAGGACTAACCAGGTGTAACAAAGAGGCCAAATGTAGAAAAACAATGGTGAGAAAAGTGCAGATACCCACAGTCCAGCTCAACATGAAACAAGTGTAAAATCACATAAAAATCCAGCGCACACACCAACAAAGGGAAAAAAAAAGTGTGAAGCGAGCAGACACGAGATAACAAAAGATGCGAGTGAAGGACAACAGATGAAAGAAAGGTCTTGGCTCTCTCATGTTTTATCACAGGAATTGATGTACAAGTTGCTGGTGAGAGCTGCTTATAGGAAATCTTTCAGGCTGCTAACATTCAGATCCCCACTTATGACAATTCACAGTTTGAGCTGCCAGATAATGTAATGTACCTTTTGTGCAGCTGATACCAAACATATGAGAAAATTCAAAAATAGACATGGTCCTATATAATCATGCATTACAGGACAGTATTTATAATACATATGTCGCCACATGAAGTGATCTAATCTAGTGTATTAACATAATGTATAAATCTTACTATAGTGCACTTAAACTCTGCCTGTCCATGAAATCTTCCTACACAACCAAGAGTTCAGCAGACAAAAACAGCACACGGGTAAATCTCAGTGGTTTTGCATATTATATATTAGCATATTTTATTTCTGAAAGTGGAGAACTCAATCAAATTGTGTTGTGGCTGATGTGACTGCATCAAAAAATGTCCCTAGTTAAAGGTTTTAATTTGAATGAGGGATTATAAAAAAATACCGGCAGCTCCCGGTGCTGCCTCTCAGCCTCCTCGTAGACGCACGTATCATATTAATGTAAAAATCCTAGGTGATTTTTAGAAAAGTTGACCTCTGACCTTGAGGTCAAGGCCACTGGCATCTGAACTCATCTGAGGCTTTCAGTTTCTGTACCTATGGTATGGATTTAAAAATCCTACGTCGTCTCATGCTCAAGTTATCACATTCACAAACTTGTGTGTCCATGCTGGCAGGATGACAATACCCCATCAGCCTTTTACGGGTAAGAACCCCCCGTGTGGCATAGCTGTATAAGCATAATTCAAAGACACTATGTTTCATCAATATTGCCAATGTCATACTGGAAAATAACTAGCTGACCACTGAAATTCCATATATCCTAGATGTTTGCTTGTGTGTAAGCACAAGCATCTATGTGTTTCTTTTTCTTTTAAGCAGCGAGGGGTGCAGCGTTGTGTTACTATTTGCTACTCCTCTAGTACAATATTAAATTCTCAGTGGGAGGCATATTGGAAAAAAAGATTATATCAGCTCAAATGTGTATTATCTGCGTTATTATCTAACACCTTATGTGGGTGTTTAAATTTAATCTATACATTTTTTTGCCTAAACATCTTTGAATGTGTATTTGCATGAACGCTTGTATGCGTGCACGTTATTAAGTTTGTGCGTGTGGGTGTATGCACTGCTGCAATGTGTGTTTCAACTGCACCAGCTAGTTTGTAGTGTTCATTCCCTCAAGGTTAAAACAAGATTGATTCCTGCTACAAGTGTGGGGCTTTAAATTACACTTTAAGCAAGAATTTGAATGCAAGGTGGGCATATTCACCTTTTTATCATTGCAGACATGCAATAACAATTAATGCAAACAAAAAAGAATAACAACCCCCCCAATAAACATGCACTGCATTACATCTTACACGTCTTGATAAAAGATGTCAAAAGGGACACTTAACAAAACACTCCTAAGAATAAATAACATTCACAAAGATTGTTGGCATTCTTTGCAAGAGTCATACAAGTCATGGCTGCTGAGGACAACTGTGACTGAATGTTATCATTCAAGTGGAATGTGAAATAGTTGTGCACATAAAGAAGATGAACAGCCTTGGTTTGGTGAATAGTAAAGTTTTCTGACGAACACTAATTCACTAAAACCTGAATGTATGAAGAACTACATTCACCAAGCCAAAACGGTTACAGGCGCTGTCATGGCCAACCGAGACCACTTAAGTCACTAAAGATGAAGTAAAACCACAATTAGACGAACGAATGAAAGACACATACAATATCAATACCAAGAAAAGACAGAAAGAAAGTTTTATTTTTTTCCTTTTGCTGGCTGAAAGATTCTTTCCTAAAGCAGCTTTAGTGTAGGTGTGTGGTATGTAGAGCAGCTTGAAAGATCCTTGCATCCTCACATATCAAATTCTATCCACACATTCACATAAACATGCGAATTGCACACACACACACACACACACACACACAAACATATTCCATTAAAATCTCTCCCGAGGCCATAAACAGAGCCATGCTGGAAAATAACTGATATACTGTACATGCTAGGAGCTGAAGTAAAAATTTGTCACAGACAGCGTACCTGTGACTAGCTCTCTGATTTCCACATCTCCGGTCTTCCTCAGCAGGCGGACCAAGGCAGGAATCCCCCCGCAGTTCTTCAGGGTTACTTTGTTCTCATCATTGGCCTTGCCATACACCAGGTTTCTCAAGGCTCCGCAGGCGCTGCGATGGACCTCACTCATCCTGTGGTCCAGTAGATCAACGAGCAGCTGGATGCCTCCCTGTCTACGGATCTGAGTATCAAAGAAATTGAATCAATCAAATCTGTCGTAAATGAATAATATATATTAAATAAAAATCAGCAGCAAGAAGTATTGTAGAGAACATTTTTCTCAATGCTGAAATTTTAATATCTTGTACTCCTGATGGCTGGTTATTTATCTATGCGAGTAGCTACTTCGTACACAGTGTTTATAATGTGTGTTTGTGTGCGCATGTGTGTATACAGCCTCCAGTGTCTGTCAGTCCTGCCAATCAGATTAACAGCACAATGTGGGCTAATTAAAGATACTAATGACTGGGCTTTAACAAAAAATGACACTTAATTACACTGATTAGGGAAGAATAAGCTTGCTTGTGTGTGCCTGTATGTTATAGAATCTGCACGTTACTCGCCACGTTTTCTGTGTGGTTGCCCTCCCTTCTTAGGTTTTTGTTTCCTTTTATCACTTTTTTGTTGCATATGATAATTTATATGCATGAAAAGTTCACACTGAATTGGAAAACTAACGTTAAATTTTTATCTTAATGACTAAAAGATGAAAGGCAATCATGGCAGCCTCCACAGATTCAGTGACTAGTGGTTGTTTATCCTTTTTAAGAAGGCGTGTAACACACACATTCCAAAACCATGCATCTGTTACCTTGATTTATTTTAAATGTGTATTTCAGCCACCAAAAGGCAGGCATAGCAGGGAAAAATTAAATTAATTGAACACTTCTGTAAACTGTACATGAAGACTCACCTAACTGCACAGCAAATCTGTGCCCAGCTACACTGCTTGCCTTGTGTCTGCTACTACTTTTGCCTTGTAAATACACATAAAGAGAAACATGCTTGGCCACAGTTCGAGAAATAAACGGTAAATAAAAGGTAATCAGTTTAGATTTATAATTATATCTCGATTCTGTGAGAGGGCGAGGCAGTCAGGACTGTTAGCCCAGTAGGGATCACAATGAGGGCACTCTGGCGTTACACATAATGCCTTCCCCCCATGGCGCGACACATATTGCTCTCTCCCTATGCTGGTGGTTTTTAAACCTCCCACATCACTTCTCCACTGCAGGGATCTTCATCAGCCTTAGGGGGCCAAAGAGCTTAAATCAGCCTGTGTTTGGTCCAGTCGACAGGGGTGTTGCGCTAATCACTAGAAACAGGCTGCTGAGATCTCCAGGAGACTAGTCGAAACAAGGACGGAGCAACTAGTGTGTGAGACAGAGGGAGAGAAAACGAAAGAGAGAGAGAGTGTGTCCCTCATGCTTCCACTTTTATTTAATCTCTTGAGCACTGCAACTGACAGACTTACTCAACCAGATAACTCCAGTTTTTCACAGTTAGATGCATATTCAGACTTTTTGAAACCCTTTAATATTTTTCAGCACGTTCTCCTCTAAACACGGGACATTAAATATAGAAAATACTTCATTAGTAATGCCTGCTTCATTGTGAAGCACCAGATGGATGGATTTTACTACGCAGACGAGCAATAAGACATGAATGGACTTCCAAGGCTTTTTTTGTTTCATTTTTTGGCTCTCGCACACTCGCACTCGTACTTTCAGCATGATCAAGTCAAAAATAGGTGCGCATGCAAGCGCAAGCAAAAACCAATGATAATAAAGATGCACATAAGAAGAGAGAAAGCGAGAGTGAGGGTGACACAAGAAAGAGAAAGCATGAAAAATGGAGGGCAAAGAGGATGTGGGTGTTTCATGACACAGCAGGAGTTTATCGAGCAAAATGACTTTGCTTATCTATTCAATTAAAATGGATTAAGGAAGGCAGTGAATGGCAAAATAACCTTGCTAGATTGGCCATACAATTTCCTCAACCTGATTTGTTGCCCCTCTTACGCCCTCTAGTCCCCACCTCTGCTCTTCTTCCCCTTCTTCTTTTCCCCTTTTCCTTCCCCATGCTAATTTGTGCACCTCTCCCTGTTTGTGTTTATGTCACACTTAATCTGTTATTCCACTTTGTATTGCCTCTGAGCTACATACAAGGCTTGGCAATACCTCTGTGCCTGCTCCTCATGTAAAGATTAGAAGCGCTGATTGATTTGTCTTTGTCTCACGCTCTTCTGCGGTGGACACGGCTATTGGTAACCCATAGCGACAGTTTTGCCGTGGTAACAGTTAGCGGTGGTGACAGCTGAGATTGTGAGAATCAGAGATGCTGCCAGCATGAAAGCCGGCAGTGGGATACATGGGTGTCACGCACCTGAGACGGTGTCACGTGAAGCTTAACAAGCGTTTATGACTAACCACATATGGAACTTCAGCATTAACCACTAGCTCCAGACAGGGTGCATGTGAGTGTGCAGACAGAGAGGAGATGTGTCACACCTTTTAACCGTTTATGTATTCACACACAGAGGCAAGCATACACACATACAAGGGGTTGTGTTGTCTTCACTTGACACTTAGCCTAGGGCTAACTGCAATTCAGAGCCTTACAACCTTTGGTTAATTGAGTTTTTGGCCCAGGGCTAACATTTCCCTCTTGAGAATTTTAAACTGGGCCAAATAAACCATTAACCTATGGCTACCTAATATTGTTCTGAGGCAGAGACACAGCTAATTCTCATAGAGTTATCAGCATAAAAATTCACCGCTGTGAAAATGTACTGTAACAAATATACTGGAGGCTTTGTTGTATGACGAGGTAGCTAACAGAGAAAACAGAGCAAACACTATTCCTCACAGCAGCAATGTATGTGTTATTAATTAGGTTGTGCCCAGGACTTCATAAAACTACCTTAAAGCAGATGTATATTAAATTTGAAGGATACTTTTTGGAAGCAAATAACAGAGGGTGGCTCTGTTAGGTAACTTAATAGAAACCTTATAAAATGTTAACACATTCTTTAAAAATTAGAGTGAATTATAGAGTAAAATATTTTTAATTAAAGTATGTTGCTGGCACTTTTGCAACACTTACAGTTAGGTTCACCATTTTAGGAAAATCAAAATGTGATTAAAGCGTCTTTCAGCTTTACTTCAACGGTTTTAATAAAAGTATTCGATTAACTGCATAGGAACTGCAACCATTTTCAAAAGGAATGCACCAGCCAGTTCAACAACATCAACAGGCTTGGAAGTCCACAGATGGCAAATACACTGGTTGATTGCAGAATTCTTTCCTTGGTTAAGAAAAATCCTTCACAACCTCTAACCAAGTCAAGGATGTTTTCATGGACTCTCAAAGTCTTTAAAGTTGGCTCAAAAGATGCCTTTATGAATGTTAACAGATAACAGTTGTGCAAACAACTGGTTACAGTCAGTAACAGAAATGCATTAAACTATGCCAGAAAACATCTAATAGATAATGGCCAAAAACATGCTCCAAAAGCAACACAAGAGTTTCTTAAGGCAAAGACATGCAGTAGCCTTCAATGATCAGTGCCTGAACTGAACCCACTCAACCTGTACGAGGAAACACTCCCCAACAAGCAGTATTTGAAGGTAGCTGCAGTAAAGGCTTGGCAGTGGCAGAGCATCTCAAAGGAGGAAACACAGCGTTTAGTGATATCCATAGGTTCTTGCTAAATCCCTTGAAGTAAAGCTGCAAGTCTGCACTTTAACTACACATACATACTGTTTGTTTTAAAACCAACTTATTAACCTAAATGTACATAAGCTAAGTGGAAAATACGCTGTGAAGAGGGACAGAAACATATACTACTTCTGCAGCATCATTAAGAATCATTTGCTGCATTTCTCATCTTCCGCATTCATGTCTACTGAACAGATATTTACAGCATTTGTAGAGTTCACAGCCAAAAAATCTAAAGCCTGATTCTTTTGAGGCTGAGAAATGACAAAGAGTCAGGGGTCACATTCGTCCCCCATCAAGCCGCTTGTTAGATAAATGGATATTGATATGGCTGCAACCCAAAATGAATTACTGATGTAACTAAAGCTCAGGTTGAGACTGTGAGCCTGTGTTTTGCATACCCAAAGGAAATCTATTAGCTGCCATGTCAATGGTTCTGTTTTAATTCACTATGTGGGAAATATACAGAATATAACTGGTTGTAGGTGTGAATTTAGTTATGCGTGTGGATGATACAGTATTGTACTGTGTATGTGTCTAAAGATGCTATAAATGATGCTGAAGATGAATTTGGCAAGCTGCCTCTGCAGTCGAGGCTGCAGCCAGACCTCCATCTACCTTATCAAACACAGACACACACGAAACACAGCCTCTCTCTCTCTCTTTCACTTTCTGTATATCTGACTTCTCTTTCCTGCTCGCAGTATTTGTGTAGGAAAAAGAAAAATATCCATACATATAACTGTAAGTTAAAACATGCTCACACTGACACATCTAATCTAAAATGTCCACTCATACCCGTGTTGAAACATGTGTACACAAGCACATATAAATGTCATCAACCAAGAAACAAAACATTGTGTCATCTTATGTACCAGTTCCAAGATATCATAGGGAAATATTTTGTTGTTTTTTTGCCAGTATTTTTCTTCTTTCTTTTTAAAAACTTCTTCTTTTTTTTCTGGTTTCTGTTTCTATCTTTCCACTTGTATTTGCTGCTACAGATTATGTCTTTAGCAATGAATAGGAACCATACTGTGGCTGTATTCAGCTGCTCACTGTGACTGAAAATAAGAGAATATAAGCCTCTTAATCCAGGGTCATACCAAATAGCTGCAAAAAGCATTTACTTTCACATACATGTCACTGTATGTCTCAAGAACCAAGTTAATACTACAATGCAGGACTTCCTGTACATTATCTTTCTAAAACAATGCTTTAATATATACATATATATGTTTATAAAGTGAGGCAGGAAATCACAACTTAATGCAACAATATTTCAAATGACATTAAAAAAAAATCATAAGGTTCCTTTTCACTATAGCCAGAAATAAGAAATCACCTGCTACAACAATACAAAATGAAATAGTTATTATTTTGTTAGAGAAGCTTTTAATTTCCTAAATACCAGGAGTGATTTTGGAATGACACACACAGATCAGACAATATAAAAAGAAT